TCAATTTCTTCCCTCTCCAGTCTTAGTCCTATAGTTATCCAATTCAGCTGTACAGTTCTCTGCACTTGATTCCTTTGCTCACTTGGTCAGTCACTCCTCATCTCTTGCCAAACCTCAGCTCTGCATCACTCCCAACATTTGCCTCCTCCACTCCTACTCACATGTTTTGCTGAATGGGGCTGGAGGAAGTACATAATTGGGCTGATTGGGTACATTACAAATTCATGTTTTCCAAATTCAGCTGGGCCCTCAGTGCAATGAGGCAATCTTTTATTCCTTCTAATTGATTCCCTGTCTCACACCCCACAAAAGCTTTTCCAAACCCTCACATTCTCCTCAAGTCTCCCACACCTTCCCTTTCTCCTTCCTCTGTCTCTTAGCTGGAGACCTTACTTCTTACTTTTCTGACGATATTGAGGCTATCTGACATTTCCTTCTTTTCTCCTCATCTTTATCTCAAAATCCTTTGACATTGTGCCCCATGCTGTCCTCCTGACAATGAGGTAGCTGTTTTTTGTCACATGTACTTTTGATCCTCTTTCCTCCCACTTCTCTAGTAGATTTCAACTTCAGTCATCCTTCTCTCTCTTTCTGAACTTTAACCTTTTCTTATCAATTGGTTCCTTCCCTACTGCCTTCAAACATGCCCAAGTCTTTACCACTGAAAAATAAAATTTTTTTTATTAAACCCTACCATGACCTCAAATTATCCATATATATATATAATATATATATATATACAGATATGTATTTATGTGTGTATGTATATGTATGTGTGTGTATCTCTTCTGCCTTTCTCAATGAAACTCCTAGAAAGGGCTATAAATAATCTACTTCTACTTCCTCTTTTCATTCATTCTTCAGCTCTTTGTAATCTGCCTTGTGATCTCATCACCCAATTGAAACTGCTTTCTCCAAAGTGACCAATTATCTCTTAATTGCCAAATCTGATGGTCTTTTTTTCAGTCCTCATCCTTTTCAACTTATCTGCTTCCTTTGAGACTATTGACCACTCTCTCCTCCTACAGCTTTTATAGTAGTACTCTTTCCTATTTTTCTCCTCTCTGTATAGCCACCCATTCTCAATCTCCTTTGCTGGTTTACCATCCGTTTGCTCCATAACTGTCAATGTTTCCCAAAGCTCGGTCCAGGCCCTCTCCCCCCACTCTTTTCTCTCTAAACTCTCTTTTTGTGACCTTGTCAGCTCCCATGAGTTTAATTATCATCTCTGTTCTATGCCTATTTCTCCAGTTTCTCCTCCTAGCCTCAACCCTGTATCATCGGTTAGCTGCTTATAGGATATTTCAAACTGGATGTTCTGGAGATAGCTGAGAACTCAACACATCCAAAATAAAATACGCTGTCTTTCCCTCAAGAAAAAACAAAACAAAACCCAACACCTTTCTTCCAAACTTCTCTTTTCCATGGAGGGCCCCACCCTTCTCTCAGATCCTTAACCTAATCATTATCCTAGACTCTTCACTCTCCTTTGTCCTATATATTATCTTGACATATCCAATCAAGTGCAAAATCTTGTCATTTATATCTCTACAACAGCTCTCACATCTGAACCCTTCTCTAGGCTTGAACAACTGCTACTTTAATTGAGGCCCTTATCACCTCTTCTCTAGATTGTTGCCATGGCCTCCTAATTGATCTCTGTCTGTATTTTTTCTCCAATTCCACACAGCTGCTGAAGTGATTTTCCTTAAAGGCAGATCTGATCATATCCCTTCCCTGCTTAGTCAACTTATTGCCTCTAGAATAAAATATAAATTTCCCAATGTAGCTTTCAAAGCCTTACATAATCCTCCCTGTCCTCTCTTTTCTCTATCATTGTATATTACTTTACCTCGTGTTTTCTGCAATCTAGACAAACTGGCCCTCTTTCTGTTCTTCACATAACACTCCATCTCCCATCTCTGTATCTTTGCACTTGACTTTCCCCATGCCTGGAATGTATTCCCACCTTACGTTCTGCTCATAGAATACTTCTCTTCCTTCAAGCTGTAACACAAGCAACACATGAAGCCCTTCCTGATCACTACTCCTTACCTGTGGATGCCTTCTCTCTCAAACTACCACATATTTAACTACTTTGCATGTATTTGTATTTTTCCTTTGATGAATTACTTCTCATTTTGGCCACATGAGTGACCCACATCTTTGTCTGCTTATACGTCTCTCATATCTCTTTCATCATTTCTAGAGTGCATCTCTTTATTGTACATATTACAGAATATTCACATACATTCAATTCCCTTCATTACCTCTTCATTTCCTTTGGGTGACCTACAAACTTACTTTTTCAGAGACTGGGTATTCCATGAGTTATAGACATTCAGTGTTATTAGGAGAATATTGACTTTAAAAAGATGGGATTTTTTTTTAAGATGAGACTTTTTTTACAGGGAGAAACTTAGAGTCATTAAAAATGCTGCACCATTGTTCGAGTGCCATTCAGAGTACTTTCTCCTGCTGTTTAGTTGTGGACCCATCTTTCTGTCCATGTGCAGGTTTTGACCAATATGTATGTGTATTCCTTCCATAGAACATTTTCCACATTTGTAAAATGAGGGAGTATTAAACTAGATGATTTCTCTGGTCCTTCAAATTTAAATCTCAAATGAAGACATGGTGTATCAAAAAGATGTTGTATCAAAAAGAATACAGGATTTAGAACCATAAGACCAGAGTTCAAATTCCTACTCTGATAACTAACTAGATATGTGACTTTGCTTAGGTCATAACTGGGCCTCAGTTTTCTCATCTGTAAAATGACGGAGTTAGACTTGATGAACTTTAAGTCCTCTTCCAGCTATAACATGCTGTGATTCTGATTCTTTGGTTCTCTTCCAGTTATCTTTAGCCGTTTTGTTTGGCCTTGCCCAGGGTGTTAGGTTGTTGGCAAGATTAGAGCCCTGACCTCCTGGCCATAATAAAGCTGCCTTTTCCGCTCAGTTTGAAATTTGATGATGAAACAAATAACAAATATTTTTCTCTCCAAGTGAAATAGGAGATAAACAGGAAGGAATCAGGGATTAAGGTGTCTCTCTGGAGGAGGATGCTGGTGACAGGCAGGGAGTTGAGTGTCACCTCCATGTGGAGCAGAAAGGTCCAGATGTGGCTTGCCTTACTCAGGGCATTTTTCCATTTGTGTAGAGAAAATAAAATAAAGAGCAAAGAAAACAAGCATAAAATACTTTACCATATACCAGGTTCTTGCAATTGCCACTTGAGGTGTCCTTGATAGCTCTGAAGAGAGGAGAGGGGGAGAAGGAGGGGGAGAGAAGGAGCTGACCTTTTGATGTTCTGTTCCTTAGTTGTCTTTTGTGTGACCAGTTGTTTTAAAAGACGTCTTTGTTGATCTGAGGTACATATGGCAAAGAAATACCAGCCTCTTCTAGCTTTGGGGCTGGGGAAGTATGAGGTTGGGCTCTCAGGAGAGGGGTCAGGGGCCAGCGGACTTGCTTCCGTCACGGAATCTCAGAGTTGAATGAGGTCTCAGAGTCCATTTAGCCCAACCTGTAATGAATAAGAATACTTTCTACTTCACACCCAATAGCCTTTGCATGAAAAACTCTAGTAAGTGGAAAACCCTTGTTTCTAAGTGCTACTTAGAAGCTACTACCCAAACAACATTCATCACATTTTCTTTGTATCATATACTTAGTTGTGTACATGTCTCATCTTTCCTATTAAAACTTCTCCAAGGAAGGGATAGGGTCTATGTGTCAATGACATAATATTTGTAAAGCTCTTTGTAAGCACTTAATGCTTGTTCCCTCCCCTTTCCCCCTTATGTATCAGGTCCAGGCAGTGTGGCATAGTGGAAAGAGAACTCCTGGAATCAGTAGACCTGGTCACACAATTACTGGTTTTGTGACCATGGACAAGTCACTTAAATTTTTGGGGCCTCAGTTTTCCCATCTCTAAAATGGGAATAATAATACTCACACTGAGAGGTTATGTTGAAAGCTTGGTTCTGAGTCAATAGGATCTGGATTCAAATGCCACTTCTGACATATACTGGCTCTGAGATTTTGGACAAACCAATTAACCTCTCTGTGCCACTAGGCAACTGACTAAAGCCAAAAGCTGAAGAGGAGGTATCCATCAGCATTGGTAGAGGGAGTTTCCTCGCTAGGGACCTCCCTATACCAGTGAAATCATAGGTCTGAAACATATATATGATATATATATATATGTGTGTGCACACACGCTATCTGAGTATATATACTCAATATCTGAGTATGTATATATACATATATATATGATATGTGTATGTGTATATACATACATAATTCTATACCATATATATGTCTATGCCTCACAGTATTATTGTAGGAAAGTATTTTATGAACCTTAAAGTGCTATGTAAACGTGAGCTATCATTATTATCATCACTTCTTTGATGGATCTTTGATGTCATCATTCTGGATTTGGATCATAAACATTCTCATGCTATGTGATTCTGGTCCATATGATTCCATAAAACTCTCTGTACAGAAGATTTATCAAATGTGATAGAGGCCTTCCTCTGGTTGTTTTCATTTCACATTTTGTGGGTACTGGGACCAATGCAATATTCAAATCTGCCAATAGTAATATATTAATATCTTTGTTACTCCTCTCAGTTCATAGATATACAGTAAAATAGGCCAGAGGTGGAGGGGGGGGGATGTTTCTGCTGTCTAGTCTTTTGTCCAGTACCTTCAAGAAAGCCCTGAGCAGTTCCAGTTCAGTGGCACCCATACCACAAGCTTCTCTAGGGAATTTGACTGTCTTTTGTTTTATCTCCAACACCTGGCCAAGGGCCCCTGCATACAGTAGAGACTCAACTAATATTAACTGATGTGTCCTGTATAAGAATGAGTATTTCCTCACAGTAGAAGGTCTGATCAGGTAGTAGATACTAAGGGAAGAAAAGGTCCATTCCAGCCCCCGAGTTCCCCTGCTGCCTTCCAAATTGACACTTTCTCCCTCTGCTTCTTCTGCAGCCTGTAACTGCAACCTGCACGCCCGCCGCTGCCGCTTCAACATGGAGCTCTATAAGCTATCTGGGCGCAAGAGCGGGGGTGTCTGCCTCAACTGTCGGCACAACACTGCTGGGCGCCACTGTCACTACTGCAAGGAAGGCTACTACCGAGATATGAACAAACCAATCACTCACAGAAAGGCCTGCAAGGGTGAGTGGGGTAGAGGGTGAACCTCTGCACACCTTCAGTGACGTCTTCTCCGCTCCCCAATAGGACCGCTAAAATCTGAGTAATCATTGAGCTTTACTCCCTCTTTCTACAGTCCTTTTTCCTTCATCTGTTTCATCTCTTTCTCTCTTTCCCATCCCCCCTTTTCTCCCCCTCCTTCTCCTCCTGTCCTTCAGTCTCTCTCCCCCTCCTTCCGTTTCTCCCTCTTCCCTCTCTCCCTCCTCCTCTGTTTTTCCCTCTCTACCTCTCCCGCATCCTCCCCCTCCTCCCTCCCTCCAGCTTTCTCTTTCTCTTTCCCGTTCTCTTGCTTGTTTTTGGACTTAACGCTGATTATTGTGGGCATTGTGGCCAAGTTAAGCAGAAACAAAGAAGGGGAGTGGAGAAAGTCTCAAAGGAGAAGAAAGAAAGGTTTAATACATTTTTGTAGGTGCATAGCTTTCAGATCCCAATCTAAAACCTCACTCTTCTTTCCTCTCCTTTGCACAGGTGTGCCACATACCAGGAGAAAGGGGTCATATTCATCAGGCTTAGTGTCAGGGACAAAGCCAAATACATGCAGACATACTTCAGAGGTCCCTGCATGTGAACAGTGTATAGAGATCCCCAGGTTTAGGGGGCAGGGTCATAGAAAGAACATGTAATCCATCTGCAAATATCTTTGCTTCTAGGGACAAAAAATTAAAAGGAGACGAGAGAATCTATTTTTGTTCAGTGAAGCAAGCACGAATGGATTAACTTTCTGATGTTTATTTTTTCTCCCTTCAATGAAAATGAAGCAAGAAGGAATGACTCAGAGGATTTGATGAAACTAGCACATGAGGTGCAGGGAGGGTTCCTTTTCTATTAACATTTGGAGAAATCCACAAACCAGATTCTCCTAGTTCTTAGTGAAGGAACTGAAGTGTCCCCAAGAAGGCTTATTTGTTTATTTATTCACTTATTTATTTAAAGAAGATCCATGCAGAGAAACAGCAGGAATCAGAGCAAGGCTTCTGGCTCTAAGTACGGACAGTGGGTGGGACTTCATAAGAGGATGCCTCACTACTTGGGGTGCCAGGCTGTGGCCTGGGGAGAAACTAGCCACAGACTTTATGGAATCTTAGGGTAATATATAGTATCATCAAATTAGACTTAGAAGATACATCAGAAATTATATGGTAAACTCTGTCATTTTACGGACAAGGAAACTGAGGCCCAGAGAGAGTAAGCAACTTGTTCATGCTGGTAAATAAAGCCAGAATTTGCATCCAGGTCCTCTGACTTCCAGCTCCCATGATACTTCCTGCCTCTCATGGAATGTTAGAGGTGTAATAGACCTTAGGAGAATATTTAGTCTAACCCCAGTAATTGCCCAAGGTTACACAAGTGGCAGTCAGAACTAGAGCCTAAGTCTCCTGATTCCCACCTCAGTGCACTTGCTGATGCACCATTTCATATAGTCACATGGAGAACCCACATTCATGTTAGAACCATCTCCATGTGCTTACTTCAATCACATCCATGGTTGGCATAGAGAAGTGTCTGGGTCTTAGTCATTGAAGGAATTCTAGCCTGTGACTTTCCTATTGGTATAGAATAATCCCCACTGTTCCTGAGCCAAGGCTATTTCTAGACTTGACCCCCTTATTTAGGGCACATAGATACCTAGAGTCTTTCAGTTCTCACAAGTGGAATTTCTAACTAGGAATTTCCTTGTGGACCAAAATGGTGTCATGCACAAAGGATGACTTCCCCTTGCCGAGGAGAGCCTGGTCCAGACTAGACATGCGCAGCCTGCTCACACACAAACTGCCACCTGGCTAGAGTAGCCAGTCTCCACCCTATTTCCTCTAGGTTCCCCACTTTTTCCTTCACACAGACTGATGATGCTGAGGACAGCATGTTCTTTGCTGGTTAAACCCTAGTTTCTCTTAGTTCATGCTGGCAAAACTGTTGCAATGATAGCTTTACTTCCTGAGCTTTCTATACAGGCACAAAAGGTCATCTTAGCCCATCCTTTAGGAAGAGGGTAGGTTAGCAATTCTAATGGGCCTGGGCAACACATTTCCTGTTGTTTCTCAGGATCCCCTTTTATTCTTCAGTTTTCTTTATTGGATTGCCATGGAACTACACTTTAGTTCCCCAAAGTTCTGGATAGACTCCCAAGGCACTTCAAGGATTTGTGGGAGGGAAGGGAGGGGAGATATGAAAAAGGGGAGCCAGGATCTTAATTGCCTAAGATCTTGTTTGGTTCAATGTAGTTCCCAAAATGGGTTTCTTTGATCCCTCACCCTTTCCTGACATAACTTAAATTAGGAGTGTCTTGGATTTTTGGTGTCTCTTGTCCTTCACACCACGTCATGCCTGTGCTCCCTATATGATCAGTTCTGCTTCCTCTCAATTCCCTGAACAACTTTAGCTAACAATATCAACTAATTTGGTTCTTGGTATGAGTACCCTAAATGTTGAAAGGGAGAACCAAATAACTAGACTTTCCTGAGAGATCAGTTAGGAAGGGAGTGATCCTAGAACAAGTTATTCTATACTTCAGGTAATCCTTTGGTTTTCTCCTTGTTGTATGTATGTGGCACTCCACAAAATTAGCAAATCCTCAAAAGCCCTCCCCCCAAAAAAATTTCCTATCAGTCAGCAATGCAAGGACTTTTCAGTGATTTATAAAGTAACCTATTAGAATTAATGTGTGTCAGCTGAAGAAGTTGTTGAAAAGCCCTTTTCTGACCTCAGCCAGCTGCTGGCAGCCTGCACCTTCACTCCCTTTTCTGGAGGGCTGTCAGGGAAGGGGAGTATCATACCCCTCAGTGCTCTACCTAGATGAAAATAGGGTGGGTGATAGAAATGGTAAGAACAGCCTCTTGAGACTATAATTCATCTTTCTAATTTGTTGCTTTTTTGCAGGCAAAAATAAATTTCTTCCTGCCCTCTTTCTCACCCCATCTTCCTTCCCCTTCACACATTTGTGCCAAAAGTAGAAATTGAGATCTCTTAAAATTCCATAAACTTCAGAAATTCAGATTGGGGTGAGGGATGGGGGCAAGGTAATACCTGGCTCAGGAAGGACAGATATCACATCTCTCCATGGAAGTTTTTGGGTCTAAATCCAAAAGTCAAGTTACATATACAGGCCATGAATTTTTGTGAGAGGCAGTGTGACATAATAGACAGAGATTGGACCTTGGAGTCAGGAAGGAAGATATGAGTTCAAATACTCTTGAATATTTACTAAATGTGTGACCCAGAGCAAGTCACTAGCCTTTCTGGGATTCAGTTTCCTTTTTGTAAAATGAGGGGGTTAAACTCAATGGTCTCTAAGGTTCCTTCCAGCTCTAAATCTATGATCCTTTCCTATGAAATACACCAGAGAGGAGAATGTATGGGGATGGGGAGATGGGCTGGATAGGTTTTTGAGGGGAGCACCTTATGGTCTCAGATCACTGTCTGATGGGAAAGGGCATTTGCTTCTGAAAGCTTTGCCCGAGACAGATAACACATGTCCCCAAATATGAGAGTTACTCCCAGAGAGCCAGATGACCTCTTCTAAATCCATTTGAAGACTTCCGTTTTGTTTCAGAGGTGTTAGAAGGGAATAAACAAGGAAACCAGAACTAGTTACTTGATTAGAAAGTTGACCTGGGAATGCTTGGGAATGGCCATTGAGCCTCTTGTTACCTCCTGTGTTCCCAAGGACAAGGAGGCCCCTGCAGGGGGTAAGCCCACCCATAAATTGCTGGGGCCGTGTGGCTGCAGCCTAGTTGGGCCAGGATCCTTATCCATTTAGAGAAGTGGTAAAAATGGATCCAAAACATCTCAGACCGTTAGCTGTGGATAAAGACCACTAGATTGCAATCACGATTATGCAGTTCCCCATTTGAGAGTTTCATAGAAACACATTTGTTTTCTCCCCTCCCCTTCCCCTGTCCTCAGCACCTTAGTTTATAACCGAATGGGGGTTGGCAGGGCTAGTACATACAAAAGGGATATAACAAACTCAGCCAGTGAACAGGAGGCTGCACTCACCAGCTATTCAGGGCGATTTCACAGCATGGGGAAGGGTCCATTGTTGGCATAGGCTGTTGTCCCATACAAAGTCAGATGAGATGAATTTCCCCTATTTTTCTGCAGAATGGTTTGTGAATGATACTCGTCTTGGAATCTGTCAAAAGATAGAAGGTTTTGTTTTCCATTCATCTTCTTTATGGACTTTGGGGGACTAGGGGCTGTTCTTTTTTTTTTTTAGAGTGAGCATTGAAGGAGTTGCCATTTAACCGTTTAAGCCATGTCCCCATTGATAACAATATTAATTTATCATCTTACTAAACCATCTGTGATGGGTAGAGGCATTCTCCAAGTCGAATGTGAGTCGAATGTGATCACCTTAACAAAAGGCTCATGTTCCATCTCATTGGGCAGGCCATTTCTGTAAGGCGTGTTTCTTTCAGTCACTCCCATGCCCCCTTCATGTCTGCGGTTTAACACAGCTGAGTAAATGCATCTAATCAAGAGCCAATGTCTTGTGAAAGGAAAATCAATATTCTCCAGGAAGCATGTTGTGGCAGTTGTCATGCTCCCTGCAAGTGTGTATTGGCAGATCTTACCCCACATCTCAGGTTCGCTTTGAGAGAGCATGTGCTGAGTCACCATACTAATCAGCCACTGCAGTGGGTTCCTGATTTGACCTCACTTCTTCAATTTCATCCTTCACTAGGGTATGCTAATTATCTGTATATCTTCCTCTAATGCAAAGGAAAAAAACCCAAGTTGAGCAGGGAACTGTCAAGCAGCCTAGGTCCTCAGTATTTCTCTTGAGGGAAGAAATTTATAGCCTATGAATATAAACGGTTTTATGACTCTCTTGGTTAAACTGTGGGTGTTTTAACTTAACTTTTGCCACCCAGAGCTAGGCTTTTAAATCCTGTAGCCTGCTGTTATTGCCTCCAAATGAGGGAATGGAACTAGTTAGAGGACACAAACTGGGCTTATCTAGC